GAACTGAAATATTGAGAAAAATGTTACTGATAATACTTCCAGATCAATGAAGATGAGCTCGTCTTACATTGGACTGAGAAACAAAGAGTGTGAGAAAAAGAGATCGCATACATAAATACTTTATTCTGGCATAATGACTGCATTACACTGCCTTCTGTAAGTCTTTGTTCACGGACAGGCAGTTGAAGTCTTCGGAAGGCCAAAACTTTCTAGAGGCACATTGGAAATAGCAGTTTCAATGTTCTGGATCCAAGAAGACTAAGGCAGAGAACAACTGAAAATTGTGTCTTCCGTTTTAGCAAGGTTATATGACAGCACATCCTTTAATATATATTCATCCTCTTTTTGAATGACTGGAGTCCTAGAATCCTGCTTGAGTGGATCCAAACCCAAGCATGTGAAGTTCATGGTCTACAAACGTAGTGTTCTCCAAAATACTTTCTCCTCATCTTTGACCTTTAAGAGAGTCGTATGCAATAAACAACAGAGAATCGACGCAAACATCGTCCTTTTCAGTTTCGTTTCCGCCCAGTGTTTGACCACTTAATAATTAACTGAATACCAATCTTGTTTGTCTTCAGTGTTTGACAGAGTACGTAGAAAGCACCTTTGGTGTTGTATTTGTGTATAATGTTCCTCTGGATACAGTATCTTTTTTGAACAGCAATGGGGTCAGTAGGGTCAGAGTTCAGAGGTCAACGTCTCAGTGCTGCTGGAGCATTACGTAGCCACTGTTGTCCTTCAATTGCTCGTTTGATGTGGTTTCACCTCATGTCCACTGGAGGGAGAGAAAGGAAACAAAACAACCGTTAACAAGCAATTACATTTTTGTGGAATCTGGTGCCGTTTCAAAATGATTCGATTGTGATTTTTTCTTTAGTAAGACATGCAGTTTGTTTGAGTGACACATATCCACCACGCAGTGATTTTTAATGTGTATTATTGGACAGTCTGTGCACACTTAAGAAAGAAAGAACAATGTGAAAGGAACAATCTTTGTGATCAAGTTCACCAAACCATCAATCCACACATTTTCATACACAAACACTCAAAATTATGCCAACCACACAAGCTCTGTTCCAAAACCTATTGAGCTGCCTAGCATGTTAAGATAACTAACAAAATGTATTGGAATAAATTGGATTTGAGTCTCTGAGTGGCGTGTGAAGATGCTGTCTATGAAAAGCTTTCCAAACCAGTCTACTTTAATGTTGCCTTAGGGCAGGGGTGGGCAAACTTGGCCCTTCCAGGCCACTTTCCTGCAGAGGTTAGCTCCAACCCTAATCAAAAGTGTTGGAGTAGCATACAGAATGACAGCAAATATTCTTAACTGTTAAGGTAGTACATGCTCCGTTAACTCCAAACCCTGCCAATTGGTCATAGGCAACAGTGGAAAAATTTGTCGAACAATTCCTGGGCAATAAGCCCAAAACAGTTACATGTTCCACAGTTAACGCCCCACTGCAGCACACTAAACTCAAAATAACCACCCAGCCTTAAACAGGGGTCGACTGGTGTCTTTTGTTGTGCTAATTTTAATGCTTAGGCCTCTATTTCTTCTCACTGTTCTGCTAATGCTTGGCTGAATATTCTTTGAAAGCTGTACAGACGTGGCTGTGTGCGAGATGGAACAGAACACTGAAAGTGGGAGTATACCTGGGAGTCTGGGACATAAGGTAATGGTTCCCGAAAACGTTTCTGGACCAGTCCTCCCAACTCTGCACATTTTGCATGTCTCCTTTGTCTGACACACCAATTTTCAGGTCTTGGAGTCTCTACTAATGAGCTGATGGGTTGCATCAGGTGTGTTTGATTAAGGAGAAATGCTGTGCAGTGTTGAGGGCTACTAGACAAACTACTAGACAAAGGATTCTGACTTTTGCAGTCCCATCTTAAGTTCTAATAAGTTCCAACTTTTGAAAAAACTATCTTGAGACTTTTTCCCCACATCTCATGTTTTAAACGTGTTCTATGTGGATTTGTCAACAACAAGACATTGGTCTTTTTAGCAGGGAAATGCATGCTTAATTTGGTAAAAGTTGGTTTTATGGGTTGCTAAAGAGCTTTTGTAGTGCGGTAAGGAATGGTATTCCACTTGCTCCATCAGAAATGACCTAGAAAGCGATCAAACCACCCCGGTTTGAGTGTGCACAATGGGACTGCACATTTGCAATGCATCAGCCAAACATTCAAGTATGCATTGGTGTGCTTCCATGGAGTATTTTTCTGGCTTCTAATGTTATGATGTATAAATAATATATTATTTAAGTACTTCAACAAACCTTTTTAAATCCTGCCCATTTACTTATATTGTACTTACAAGTGCATTACTGTAATCATGCAAAGAAATTAATTTAAGTCAAAGACTACATGCTTTTGTCCATTTATAGATTATATATTATTATGTAACTTCACAGGCAGATGAATAAAAAAATCAGATGTATGAGACAGCGTTAACATGACCTTACTGTAAATGTTGAACACAAAGCTATGTTGTTCAGTTTTTGTCAGCTACATCAGCCTTTCCACTCCAATACAACAGGCTCTTTTGGAATATTTTGCTGTATTTTCTATATTAATACGACGTTCATTCGATTTAGCACTATTTGTGTTTCCTCAGTGTTTGCGTCAGAGATGGGGCCCGTATCCTCACGAACCTGGGCCATTTGAGGCTCTTTAATACCCAAAATCAACACTCGCAACACACCTCGTGCTTCCAGTGCCAGTATAAACCATGTATGATTTCCCTTCATACCGACCTCTAAAGGAGGAATCCAAATCCGGCTCATCCAAACACATAAACACTTACCTTTTGAACCACATCACATGCTGTATTCTTACACTCGCTCGCAAACATTCCAAATCAGGAATATCCTCACTTAGTCTCTTCATTAGGAAAGAACGGCAGTGTGCTGGATTTAGTAACTTTAGCAGTCCGATTACCAGAGATGAAAATAAAATAAACATCATTCACACAGTCAGCTGCCTATCTTGATATTCTTACTTTAAGGAAACCACAGTGACCTTGTTCGTTGTTGTTGGGTTCAGGTACGCTGATAGATGGAGCGATATGACAAAATCTCCCAGCAAACCATATAACGGGACTTTAAGAAGAGATGTAAAAGGATACTGTTTTCATTGTTTATGATCAAAACAATAGTGGACCCCATTGACTTTCACTGAATAAATTAAAAAGCGAAAAAGGAAAGTCATGCAGGCTAGTAAATGATGCCATAATCCACGACAAGTCCCTTTCAGCTTTCTGTTGCGTTAACAGATGTTTACATGTGGCCTCTTCTCACACTGCAGGTCTGATCTTAATCTCCTCACTGTAAAACGAGGTTTATTCTGTCTGGGGTCCAACTCCTCTCCCCTCCCCCAGTATGTCACTGCAGCACCTGTTGTTGTTGTAGTACTGTGTGATGATGCTTGCATGCAAGTGTGTGTGTGTGTTTTAGCAAGGCTAATAGACACAAACTGCAACACAGCAGTTCTGGGAAAATCATTAGTACTGTACACCGGGACGATAGCAAGAGAGAAAGGGAAGGGGAAATTAGGTCAAACAGAGACTGTACAGAAGAGGAATTAAGAGAAGAAAATGTAACACTCATTATGGTGCCTGTCCTTCTTGATTTCAGCTTAAAAAGGCAAATGTATTTTTGATAGAACCATGTGCATGTGTTGCATCTAACCAGAAAATGTTCGTTTTATAGCCTGATTTGAATTAAAGCTGCAAAATGTGTGTCATATTTTATTGCTGATTTAACATTTGTTACTGAAACAGCCAAAAGGTTTGGAGATTTCAGTCCCTACTCATGCAGACAGGAGCTGTGCTAGCATGATAAGAATGGCTGATGAGTGAACTGACTTGCCTTAAAGCTATCACCTCCTGTTACACTTTACATAACAGCTCAATCACTACTGAGAGAGAGAGAAGGAGAGAGAGAGAGAGACAGGCTAAATGCCAGAGAAAATATGAAGAAATATAAATGGATTGCAAAAGAGAAGAACACAGAGCAGAAAAAGAAGAAAAAAGACAGACAGACAGACAGACAGACAGATAGATAGATAGATAGACAGATAGACAGACTAGGTGAAGTTTAACTCCAGGAAGGAGAGAGAGAGAGACAGGCTAAATGCCAGAGAAAATATGAAGAAATATAAATGGATTGCAAAAGAGAAGAACACAGAGCAGAAAAAGAAGAAAAAAGACAGACAGACAGACAGATAGATAGATAGACAGATAGACAGACTAGGTGAAGTTTAACTCCAGTAAGTGTTGATAGACTCATTATCTGGTGTTATGTTCCACACCCAGCAGTGTTTCCTTTGAAACAAGCTTATCACTGTAATGAACCAAAGTACAGCAGAAATGTTGCCAAGCACTCACACACGAGGCCTTTTTACAGTCTGTGTTTTTTATATCACGGCTCTGAACAGCAGTAGCTTGTGCAGACCTGCTCCTTTTTTAGGATGAGAAGGAAAAAGTGAGGGAAGGGTAAATACACCTCTTAAGAGTATTTGCTCAAATATATACCACCATAGCTGGAAAGAAACACATAATATATTCTCGTCCCATCCCTGTGCTCAGAGCTGGAAAAAAAACATACAAGACTAACATCTGTATTCATTTTATGCGGAAAAATGGATAGTGCTTTACAATCAACTGAACGTCCATTCAGAAGATTGCGGAATATGAATAAATGAACATATAAATAAAGTTCAAATTAAAAAAAATTCAAAATTCAAATACATGCACACTACTGTTGAAAAGTTTGAGGTTGGTAAGATTTAATGTAAAGTCACTTATACTAAGATGGCATTTATTTGATTCAAAATACAGTAAAACAGTAATATTGTGAAATATTATTACTATTTAAAACAGGGATGTGGCTTGGAGTGGGTGTGGCCCTGATATCTATACTGCTTAAGATATAAAGTCAGCATTGTCTTCCTCACATTTAAATGGCTTTACAGAACTGTTGATGCATTGCTCTTACCTTGACAGTACGGTGCTGTTTTTTGGAGGGGTGACAGCGCATGTTTCCGGTGTTGCAGCAGCCTGTACAGCGTTTCACCTCCACACACGGAGGCCATATTAGGAAGTTTGCAGCGGTAGGATCCACCTGACTGCGGGGGATCTCGAAGATCACTGTCCGTGTCTTGCACATGGCGGGCACCGCTTCCTCAACTGGATGCAAGAAATGAGGACACATGGATAAATTAATACATTAGAACAAATTCAAAGCAAAGAATATTCAAGATATTACTAATTAATTACTTCAAACAATCACACACAAAAAACACACTAAACTAAATAAACTGAAACAAAATAATGAAATTAAATAAAATAAAATAATACTTCAAAGCTTATGAATATGGTAATCATTAAGTACCATGGCATTGTGCTTTATTAACTAAGTAAAGCTTCAAAAAACACACTAAAAAAAACTAAAATAAGCTAAATAAAATAAAATAATATTTTTTATTAATTCATATTAGATTCTTTGATTTTTTTCACAATTTGATGTCATCATTATACTATGGTATAATTATACTTTATTAATTAGCTCAAGCTTAATCATACAAACTAAACTAAACTAAAAATATAATGGCACATGAATATGGTAACCACCATGGCATTAACATTTGATGCCATCATTATACTATGGTATAATTAAACTGTATTAATTATAATTAACTCAATCACACAAACACACTAAAAGAAAATAAAGTAAAAAATAAAGTAAAATTAAATCAAATTAAAAACTATCAGGTCACATGATTAAGGTAATCCTTCAGTACCACTGAATTATCATTTTTCAGTTCCTTTTTTGGGAGAAATTTTGCCTGCGTGCTTCTCTGAAACTAATGCCATCCAGCAAAACAACAAGGCCCTTCAAACTGCATGAGTGGCAAATATTAAAGAGGGTTTTTAATATCTCCGAGCCTCTGTATTTACCTAGACCAAAATAAGATCGACCACAGCACTGAGATCGGCATTCGATCTGGACGTTTACACTCTTTCAGAGCAACAGTTGTAACAAAAATGGCACACAGCTATTCTGAGGCCTGAACAGTTTTTCGGTGCGTTCGAGTGAGTGATTGGAAGGTACCGAGAGGCCAGAATATCCCAACACGCACACGCTCCACGGTTGATGTGAAGAGGAAGGAAGAGCGCATGTCAGAGCTCTATGTGCCAGTGTGAACTCTGTTCAGTTCAACGAGCTGTGACATGAACTTTGAATGTTTGGAATTTCCTGGCTCGGATCCGTTTGTGACCTCACAAGTACCACCAATCCAAATACTCTCACGTTCAATCAAATAAAGAGGTGCTCTCCAATCATTGGGATTTCCTGAATAAAACTGACACTCTCTGCTTTTTATATCCTCAACACTGGAATTGCGCCAATCGTAGATGTTTATGTAACATAAAATCCTGACTATAACATTATTAGGAGAGTTCTGGGGTTTACCAAATCAATTCAGGTCAATTCAATAAGCTAATATTCTTGTCTTCTGAAATATTTAGCATATGTTTAAATATAAAGCAGGTATAAAAGATCAAATCACAATTTATTTTAAAACAAAGCAGTTGCAATATGATAAAAGTCCAAAAGATTTCTATTTGGGATCAGTACGTTTTTTTGTAATTATTATTATTAATAGCTTTATTCAGCAAGGATGCATTAAATCATTAGATCAAAAGTGAGAATAAAGACTTTTACATTGTTCATTTGATTTTTTCTTGAATATATCAAATAAATGCTGTTCTTTTGAACTTTCATCAAAGAATCATAAAAAAAAGAATGTATCACAGTTTCCACAAAATATTAATCAGCAAACTGTTTTCCATAATGATAATAATAAGAAATGTTTATTGAGCATCAAATGTATTAGATTTAATAGGATCATGTGACACTGAAGACTGGAGTAATGATGCTGAAAATTCAGTTTAATAAATTACATTTTAAAACATTTTCAAATAGAAAACAGCTATTTTAAATTTTAATAATATTTCATAACACTACTGTTATTATTGTATTTTTAAAAATCCTTAAAATATTTAACTGACTTAAAACTTTTGAACGGTATAGTGTATGTGTAGTATTATATTTTCTCATGCAAAATTTGCATTTTCAATGCTAGGATGTTTGTAGCCAGATTGTTGATCTCAGGCCTTTGCTATATGGTTGTTAAGGTGTTTTTTTGTGCATTGCTATGCACAAATGCAGGACAAGTTCAGCACTAAAACTACAAGTGATACCATGGCAATAGTTTAACTATTATCAGTGAAGCACCATAAATTAACAATTGCTCTGCCAAGCAACTACAGAATTCATCAAATGAGATTCCAGAGGCGGAACTGCTCATTTACGAAATACGCTGTCAAGAAGAGTGACATGTCTTTGAGCAGCAGGTCTTACCGACACTCCTCTTCCGTCTGTGGGACAGCTGCAGACTCTTGAGATCTGAGGAAGCGGCCTTGTATGAGTGATGGCTCTTCTGATGCTGCTTCTGTTTGACCTCCTCAATCACCTCATTTCCAGGACCTCATCAAAACACAGGTTATCCGTATTACTTTCATGTTACTCAGCGAAAAGACAAATCACTTTTTCCCCCCCTTTAAAGCCAAGATGAATCCACAATGAGGCTATTGAAAGTCTCCAGTAGATGCCCCGAAGCCTTCAGAGGCGAAATGGCACTGCTGTGAGTGGCACCAAAGCATGAAATAATTTCCTTCTTCAGAAACTCATTTTTCCACAAACAATGGCTGCTTTATTCACGAGCTTAATTGGAAATTCATCACGATGGATTTCTGGAGGAACTATGTCATTTTGGCCCTGAATGTGGTTGCCAAGTTTATTATAATGTCTTTTGTCGCATTGACATGCCTGATGAACAAATCTGAACTCCTGATAACCTCAGTGGAGTTGCCACTGGCACAGATGAGTAAGACAGCCATTCTGCATGATTTAAAGAAGAGGCGATGTAAGAGTCCTGAATACAATACAAGTCCAGTTAAGTGCTGTTTAAACAACCCACGGTGCATATGAAAGCTTCACATTAATAATACGGTTTGAATTAATCATGTGACATAACCAACAACACAGAGCATGACAACTAATACACAAACCGCTTTCCGTGTATGAATTAAGAGTTTGGTAGGGATAGTTCACCCAAAAGTGAAAATTCTGTCATCCTCATGTTGTTTCAAACCTATTCATTTTCAAATGAAAAGATGTTTTGAAGAATGTTGGTAATCAAACAGCTGCTGGTTTCCACTGAATTCACAGTAAGGAAAAAAATACTATGGAAGTCAATGGCTACCAGCAACTGTTTGATTACCAACATTCTTCAAAATATCTTCTTTTGTGTTCAACAGAAATTTGTACAGGAGCTTGGAACAACATGGGGGTGAAGAAATGATGACAGAATTTTAATTTGGCGGTAAAAAAAAGACAAAATAAGAAGAGTAATATTTTGATCTCAAAATCATTTTCTCTCATCACTTTCCCTGTGAAACATGAAATAATCTCCTTTTTATTTCTACAGATCTAGTAGACTAGTTGCACTTTGAGATGTAAACATTCAGGTACTGTACGCATATTTATTATATGAAATATGGTATGATATTCTGTCAAAAGAACCACTCAATTAAAGTGACCGTCTGATTGACATGTAAATCAGCTAACCACTGTTGACTTGTTGCATTTCATGATAAAGTGTCATGAGAAGATGGAACAATTTATGGTGCTGTTATAAGTGAAAAAATATACAATTAAATATTAAAAAATATATATATTTCTCTTTTTTAGTATATTTTTATTCATATTGATTGTTCACAAATTGTTTTATATAGGAAAAAAAATGCAAATATAGAATATATACATATAAATATAGCAAAATTACTGTATAATGTAAAGATATCATATCTATGTATAACAAATACAAATTATTTGTGAATAATTAAAACAAACAAAAAAATTATTTATTTTTATTTAAAAAAAACTAATAAAACTGAGAATTGTTTTCAAATAGATTTATTCATTTTTTTCATATTAAAATTTGTATTCGTTTTTTTAGGTTAATTTGGTTAAATTGTGTGTATAGACAGACAGACAGACAGACAGACAGACAGACAGATAGACAGACAGACAGACAGACAGACAGACAGACAGA